GTGCTCGGCAGTAAGACAAAGGCGTTTCCGGTGGAAGTTGGCCTTCGCCAGGGCTGCGCCTTGTCCCCAATCTTGTTTGTGGTCTTCCTGGACAGAATATCGAGGCGTAGTCGGGGGAGGAGGGTCTACAGTTCGGGGGGCTGCAGATCTCTGCTTTTTGCAGATGATGTGGTCCTGATGGCATCTTCTGTCTGTGACCTCCAACTCTCACTGGAGCGTTTCGCAGTCGAGTGTGAAGCGGTCGTGATGAGGATTAGGACCTCTAAATCTGAGGCCATGGTTCTCAGCAGGAAACCGATGGATGGCCTACTCCAGGTAGAGAATGTGTCCTTACCCCAAGTGAAGGAGTTCAAGTACTTCGGGGTCTTGTTCACGAGTGAGGGGAAGATGGAGTGTGAGTTTGGCCGGAGAATCGGAGCAGCGGGGGCGGTATTGCACTCGCTTTACCGCACCGGTGTGATGAATAGAGAGCTGAGGCGGAAGGCAAAACTCTCAATCTACCAGTCAATCTTCGTTCCTATCCTCACCTATGGTCATGAAGGAGTCATGACCGAAAGAACTACGTCATGGGTACAAGTGGCCGAAATGGGTTTCCTCAGGAGAGTGGCTGGCGTCTCCCTTAGAGATAGGGTGAGAAGCTCAGTCATTCGTGAGGAGCTCGGAGTAGAGCCGCTGCTCCTTTGCCTCGAAAAGGAGCCAGTTGAGGTGGTTTGGGAATCTGGTGAGGATGCCCCCTGGGCGCCTCCCTAGGGAGGTGTTCCAGGCACGGCCAGCTTGGAAGAGGCCCCGGGAAGACCCAGGACTAGGTGGAGAGATTATATCTCTGCACTGGCCTGGGAACGCCTTGGGATCCCCCAGTCAGAGCTGGTAGATGTGGCCCGGGAAAGGGAAGTTTGAAGTCCCCTGCTGGAGCTGTTGCCCCCACGACGTGACCCCGGATAAGCGGCTGAAGATGGATGGACAGTTTTTTACAAATAATGATGAAAATTTTGAGGACAGTAAAGATGTGGTTCATAATTTCAATAAAAATTGAAAGTGTGGGACCCAAACTGGCAGAAAAAATCCCAGATCCTTCAACATCTGGAGCTCTGAATGAAAAATAAATCAACAGAAATACTTATTCAATGTTTCTCACTGCAGAGAAATTTTGGATATTGTCAGTAAATGTAAAAATAAAAGGTCAACTGACTGTGATGGCATTGACATTACAATAATCAAGAAGGTAATTGTGGAAATTCCTGCAGGCCTCTGACTTTCATCTGTAATCTGTCATTTCAAGTGGGTACATTTCCAGAAAAGATGAAAATTGCAAAAGTCATTCCACTTTATAAATCCGCGGACAGACACCATTTCACAAATTATAGACCTGTTTCTCTACTTCCACAATTTTCCAAAATTTTGGAAAAATTATTTGTGGGTAGATTGGATACCTTCATTAATAAACGCAAACTCTTTTCTGTAGGCCAATAAAGATTTAGATCACAAAGATCTACAGCAATGGCAGTCCTTGAATTAATAGAAGAAGTCACCAGCTCCTTAGACAAAAAGAAATCTGCAGTTGGCATATTTATTGATCTCAAAAAAGCATTTGACACAATAAATCAGGAAATATTAATCAGGAAATTGGAGCACTATGGTATCAGGGGAGTAGTCTTGCACTGGATGAAAAGCTATCTAAGTAACAGGCAACAATTTGTGCAAATGGGTGACCACCAGTCATCTTGCTTTGTTTGTGGTGTCCCCCAGGGGTCAGTATTGGGACCAAAACAGTTTATTCTTTATATTAATAACATCAGTAAAGTTTTCTTGGTTTGCAGATGATACTAATATTTTTGTACAGGTGATAATTTGCACCAGCTTTCGGCTGAAATCAACAGTTATGTCAACTTATTATATGGTTTGATATTAATAAAATTGCAAAAGTAAAACAAATTGGCAAATCGAAATAGATGATGTGTCGGTGGAGAGAGTTAATGAAATTAAGTTTTTTGGAGTGATGATAGACCATAAGATTTGCTGGAAACCGCATATTAAATACATTCAGTGTAAAATATCCAGAAGTATTGCTGTTCTCAGCAAAGCTAAACATTTTCTAAATTATGCTGCACTACATATTCTATATTGCTCACTTATTTTTGCCTTACTTGAGTTACTGTGTGGAAGTATGGGGCAACACCTATAAAACCCTGCTGCGACCGTTATGCACATTACAAAAAAGAGCCATCATAATGGTTCATAAGGCAGGATTCCACGACCATACTAACTTATTATTTATACAGTCCTGCATTCAATTGAATTCAAAGCAAGCTATATTGGCTAATATATCTCTGATTGCCCTGTTATTTTCAGTAAGAGCTTTTGTGGAGTCTGCTCTGCTTTTTTTCTGCAACTCCATCGACTGCTGCTGAGGGATTTTAGAGTGTATGTAATGTTCGCTGTTATGGAAAACTGTGTTCCAGCGATGTGTTGATGCGCTGCCAAATGTATACAGGGACTGTACAGTTCAAAAAAGGCCTTAACCTCCTCACAGCCATTATCAATGTAGTTAACACCCACAAGGTTCAGCGAATGGGCAGCACACGGTGTATAATGAATTAGTGGGTTTTGTTTTTTCAAGTATATTGCTAGGGTTATCAAAACTTTGAGCACGACAGTTTGACAAGTCTAACCCCAAGTCTCGCACCATTTCTATCACAGATTCAGCTGGCTTGCACCTGTGTGGCTGTGGATGGGCTCAAACCCAATGAATATTTCCACTATTCAGTAACGAAAAACAAATGTGAGCTGATCTATGTGTGCTAAATCTGGTGTTGAGTCAACAATTACAGAAAAATATTTAGCATGTCTGATTTCCTCTGCTATCACTTGCTTAGTTTTGCCACTCAATAATGAAATAAATTCCTCACACACAGTTGAGGACATGTAAGATGGCTTACCTCTTCCCTTGTTGCCATGCTTCTCAAGGTGCTCCTTTAAAAAGGGGTCAAACTCCGCGATCAGTTCAAGCAGTCCCAAATAGTTCCCATTGTGCGCGGAGCTCAGCAGTTCGTTATCGCCTCGAAATGGCAGTCCTCTCCCTCACAAAAATGTAATAACGGCAACCACACGTCTAAAGACTTCTTTCCAGTACAGCTGTTCTGCCTCACACTGTCGGGCAAGAAAAGTGTCAACTCTGCCTGCGTATTTAGACCTGTGCAATAAAGAAAGCACGTTTTACCTGTGTTCTGCACCCTCTTCATGATCACTAATCCTCTCTGGATGTTTCCAACCCCAGAATCCGCTGATAAATGCATGCTTTTAGGATGACAGGAGTTTGCAGGCATAGCAATAAACTGATCCAGTTGAGGCCGAGTAAAGAAGCCATTCCCTTGGCACAATTTCATTGTTTGGAGACGGCAATTAAGCACATCGTCGGTGAGGGAGCGTGTCCGACTTCCAAGTCCGGACTCCCTTACCGATGCCGGATACTTCACAGCCCGGTTCAGGAAAGCTGCAGGCCCCCGGTAGATCGCCTCTTCCCGGAGCTGCTCCGTAACCGGTCCCCATAGTGCAGGATCCCCAGGGAGTAGTAGAGGCGTTGAGGTACAGGGGCAACTCGTTTGGTCATAACGTTTTGTAAATCAATTTAGAAGATATTATATTCATCTGTCTTCCATCCGAGTAAAAGAGCACCAAATGCAGTACTAATGTAGTCAGAGGTGTACAAGCAACCTCAATTAAGGCCACTGAACACACCATAAATCAATAAATTCATTCCATTAGAGACGGACCTGCAATGGTAGGCCTCCTAAGAACAGGAACAGGATGTTGTCCCTGGATTCACTGGATGAGAAGAAAAAGTAAATGCACACTAATGTGTAAAGCAAAAAGGGATATAATATCTGATATAAGTGCAATAGTTTATATAATTAGTCTCGGTAGAGACAACCCAACTTTGACCAACAATGGGAAACCTATTAGATGATCCACACAAAATTGAACAATGCAAGTGAGGCTGCATTTGATGGAGCTGATTTTTATCCATGATTGTCCCTGAACTTTTTATAGAAATAAAGTTCAATCCCTGGCAGTTGTATGTGCAACACACAGAACCCCATAACTGCTCTGACCAAGCTGTAAAAGTAAAACTTAAAATATGTTACTATAACGGCAATTGTTTAAATAATACTTTTTTGTTGTTCTTGTTCTGCAAACTTTTGCTGTATTTAACAGCACGGTCCATTATAGATTTGCTTCTATGTGTTCCGTGGCCTTTCAAACAATATATAAATGTAAACCTTCCACTCAGCTTCACTGTGCAAACAGCAGACACGTGTCAGTGTAATAGATGTGTGGTCTAGATGTGGTAACTATTAAGCTTATGCTTCACGAACATATAACCATCCTCCAAAGCTGAACTTCTTAAAGATCCTAAAATTGCCAGCTTGGGAAGAATAAATCTCACTGTCTTGTTATTAGTTAGACTCACAAAATAATAATCTGCAGTTCAGCATAAACATGACAATAATTGAGTCACCAATCATTTTGACAACACATTGTGCACAATGTATTAATTACATTTATTGATAAATTATGATGATTATTGATAAATAACAAAATAATACAATACAATACATAATAACAATTACAATAATAATAATAATGTACAAAAATACAATCCATCCATCCATTGTCAAACCGCTTATCCTGCACACAGGGTCGCGGGGGGGCTGGAGTCCATCCCAGCCAACTTCGGGCGATAGACAGGGTACACCCTGGATTGGTCGCCAGCCAATCGCAGGGCTAACACAGAGACATACAACCATTCACACTCACATTCACACATCTATGGGCAATTTAAAGTCCTCAATTAACCTGATCCCCAGAGCATGTCTTTGGACTGTGGGAGGAAGCCGGAGAACCCGGAGAGAACCCACGCAGACACAGGGAGAACATGCAGACTCCACACAGAAAGGCCACTGGGCGGAATCGAACCCAGGACCTTCTTGCTGTGAGGCGACAGTGCTAACCACCACGCCACCGTGCCGCCCCAAAAAAAAAAAAAATACAATATAAAATATAAATATTCAATACAAAAATTTAAAAACGGCATATTGACACTATAAACAATGTGTTGAAATGTTTTCCAAATAACTTTGCTTGTTTTTAAAAACACCTAGTTTGTATTCTTAGGTTTATATCGGACAGGCAAGTCCCCCTCCGGTTGAAGCATCCCAAATCCATAACGACTGGCATCTACCGCTGGCATCCGAGCATTTGGGTCACAAAGCTCCAAATCATAGCTAGTCAACGCCACGTAAACAAACCTGAAGAGTAAACACACATGAATATACAATTAGAAAACTCCAACCAAACTTAAAGGTAACATTCTGAGGCATTAACCAATGGTAGAGTTACATGTTGCACTAATCCTTGGACACTCACTGTCTGATTGTATTGATGGCAAACTGCTTTCCCACACAGCCATTGGTGCCTGCACCCCATGGCATTGAGTAATATTTCAGCAGCCTCCCTCTTTTATAAAAATCTTTCTTCAGCGATCCATCTTGATTAAGGAACCGGTCGTACTTGAATTTCTAAAAAGGAAAACACATTTAGTGAAGACAAATTCATTAATGAAATTTTGCTTTATCAAACTGTTTAATGTCTGTTTGTTTGTCTAATCGCTAGTGGACAATAGTTTCTTATTGCAGCCAAACTGCTATTAGCCGTGTTTCTGTTCCCGTGCTCAGATTGTCCCTCAATGGTCCACTGAGATTGCCCTCTCACTCATCGACACAGGGTCCGCTATGTATAGGTGTCAGTTATTAAACGACAATGCTAATTACATTAAAGTCTGCCTTCAAGTAGTCCTAAACACAATTAGTACAACGTGTTCTGGCGAACCTGTGGCTCGTCGTGAATCTCGGGGTCCATTTGAGGGCTGTTGAAGGGAAACAGACACACCCTATCTCCTTTCCGTAGCAGGTACTCTTGGCCATTCGCCATGTTGAGGGTCTTCTCCTGCACCACCTCTCTGGTGATGAAGGGGGCAGCGGTGAGTCTAAGCGTCTCATCCAAGGCACTATCTGGGGGGAGGAAGAAATCAATGTTGTGATTAACAACAGAAGAGCAGCTGCTTTTCCCTTATTTGCAATGTTTTTCCCAGTATATATGTACATATTGTGTATTATTCAAGATGAAAGCTGGGACCGCGGCTCACCAAACACAGGCGTGTCCATAGGTCTGTCCAGCGGTGAGGTCTCTACGGTTTTCCTTTCTGATATCCTGCTGAACTCCCTTTTCACAGCTGCCAGAGCTTCAGGGTTTGTCAATAAGTAGCCCAAAAGCCAAAATGCAGCAGGACCGACGTTACCCTGAAAACAAACAGAAGACAATGATAAGGTTGTCCCTTTCGTTCCAGCGTTGCATAGTGACAGCACAGGTGGTTATTTGTTAATAGCAAATACGAACATCAGAAGACAACCGTATCACTCACATCTATCTCTTGTTAGAGTTGTAACAACGCACACATTTGAACACAAGTTCAATTAAATAAATAGGTCTAATGAATCTTAAGTGCTGGCCAGAAAATAGAACAGCTTCCTTTAATGTGTCTGGGACGAGAGGAGCGAAGCTCTGCGTAGTCTAACTACTGGCAAAGCTCAGTGCCGTAATGGTTTACTTAAAACGGACAACCTTTGGGAGCAGAGGTCCCCTGTCAGATGTCTTGCATCCAAAAGAGGGACAAGCTGTGCAACTATTTTACAGCCAACTTATGCGCAGGTTAGACACATTAAATAGTGCACAGAGTGAATACTTTTCCCCACTGTGAATCTGAATCCGGTTCGGAATAATGCATTGTTTAAACGTAATAATTTAATATTAACCGTGATTGCAATACGGTTTTGTCATTACTGCAATAACTCCTAAGAGGCCCCTTGTAGGTTATTAAAATAAATGTCAAATGATCTCACTTTGTAAAAAAAAGCAGTGACTACGGAAAGTTAAGACAAAATACCACGGCGACTAATTGAAAAAAGGATGAGTAAGCAGCCTGCAGCGTAGGTTAAATGGTGAGGTACACATCTGATTAATACCCATTATGTAATAAACTCCTCCGGCAGACTGTAGGCAAGACAGTGCGAGTAAGTCATGACCAATTCAAATCAATTCCAGGAGAAATTGTGTAACTTGTGTGTGCTGTGTGTACTGTAGTTACAGGGGAAAATAACATTCAACTTTTGACGCAAAATATTAATGACAAGATTTGCCTTTTTAAAGACTACTGATCACGATCTTTTACTACAACTGTAAAAAGTACAAAAGAAAAGTACACTGCACTCCCTTAAAAGGATATTTTCTTCATGATTTTCCTGCTATGTGAGCAGAAGTGAACAGCACACTCATGTGCTAAGTAAGAGTACTGCACATGGGGGGGGGAGTTTATTAGTATTTTTTACCGTTTTAATAACATTAGGTATCACACATTCTTTAACAATGTTTTTTTTATAGTATATAAGTCTTTGTAGTTAAAATTACCATCTGCAAAGTACTTAGCAAATGCAGCTATCATCCAACAGTAATGAAGTAAAATGGACAAAATGTGGTGCAATAGATGTATAACGTAGCACAAAATTGAAATACTCATGTGAAGTACCTCAAACTGTGCTACATTTAATGTGTCCCTTCAGAAAATAGGTACACAACAGAGACACGGTGGCGTGAAGCTACTCTAAGCCGACAACACAGCACGTCTAACTAACCTGCGTGGCCCAAAGTTGCATCAGCACGGCTTTCTTCTGCGTCTCTTCGTCGGCACCACCCTCCTGCAGGAGCCTCCTGTAGTCGCAAAGCCAAGGGCTCGACCCCGAGTCCTCCGTCAGACCTGCTGGAGCCAGAAGCTCCCACAGCCTCCGCCGGACACCCTGAGCCGTCCTCTTCTCCTCTGTCACACGGATCAACGTCACAGAGTGAGTTACGCGGGAAATTACAGGCATGCACTGCGCTACAGGATGAGTCAGTAGAGGATGTTGATTCATTGTGAGTCGTAGTATTTGAGAAAATAAATACATGAAACTCGCCATGGCAACTGTAAAACAAATCTTAGGAAACCAATGATGTCACAGCACATTAGTGTAAATATTGTCCAAATTACGTCTACGATGATCAGAGTCTACGTGTCTAGTCTATGTTTTGCAATTCATTTCGTCATAGTAATATGAAACAACGTCACGTGGAAATTTCTGATTAGGTCATGAAGTAGATCAGTGGGCGGATTACGTTATAAAGCATTTTAATGACAATAACAGCGTCATTACCTGGCTTCAGTGTGCCCCTGGCCATTTTGGTTAACAGACCATCAAACTTCTTGTACTCCTCATAGACACTCGAGGGATCTGTGCTGTTGTTGTTTTGTTCTCCTCTAAACAGTGTCAGGTACCCCACCCTGCAGAGAAAGGGCATTATTTTACCTCGATGGAAACATAACCAGCCCCAACAGTTTTTCCCATCCGAAAAGCACAAAAGCAATTGCCTTTCAACTGGTATTTTTCCACTGGCCCACGCAAGGTGCAGCATCTCTTTATGTTGAATGTCACCATGACACAAGACAAATTAACCCATATACTGTTTCACATTCCAGATATTTTCTCTCTCTTTAGTTTGCTGGTGATATACTTCACTTCGTTATATATTGATAGATTTATTTCATGAAAGTTGGCAACACTTTGATTCACGTCCATGGTGAAGAAAAAGTGTTCGACCGGAAACGTTCAACATTTGTCGGAAACGGTCGGCCTACATTTGTCTCGCTGGGTTTACTAACAGAGGAAGGACAGACGGTAAACTGTTTATCTGAAAGCTTGTCACGTGAGCGCATCTTTTAACATAGTTAGGTGTATGTGTGTGTGTGTGTGTGTGTGTTTGCATGCAGGTGCGTGAGCGGGTTGCACACGTACTTGAAGAGTAAACTGTAAGAAAAACTGAACAGTTCCCCGTCCTTCCAGTCTTTCTGGTTCTGCCTCTCGGCTCTCAGCGAGGCCTGCAGGTGTCTGCTCATGGTGCAGTTCAGGGCGGCAAAATTCCCTCCCAGGAAGTGCCTGCGGTCACAAAGCGTAACAATGACGAATCAGAGAACAGATTAACTACCTTAACATGTGAGGATTACCCTGTTCGTTCATTTCACACTGAGAAATGGTAGCATGATGAGCAAAGAAAGGAGGAGAAAGGGTCACACCTACAACTCTGTGTGCAACCTGAAGAAGGCTGTGTGCGCAAACGTAATCTTTTAAAACCCCTCAAAAAATAAAGATTGCATCCAGCGTGCGGGTTTCTCCTCCTTTCTTTGGTATCTGCCAGTAGATCATTAAAAGGTGAAATGGGAAACGAGCAGCGAAACAGGAAGCCCTAAAAATACATTTCCCGAAATAGGATGGGTGTTCCTCTAACTAATTTCACCTTTACATTTACACGAAATAAAGTTGAAAACATTCACCACAAGCTTTCAGTGTGCAAAGCAAAACAAGAGGGGCGTACTTCTTCATCAGCGCATTGACTTTAGCCGGCTGGTGATGTGGGAGCCGCAGGTCAAAGATCCTGTCCATGAGCACCTCGGCGTAGCGCGTGAAGTCCAAGGAGTCGGAGTCGTTGATGACCGTGTCGTACGAGTGCGGATCCAGCAGCACCGTCACATATCGTCCAGCTACACGCACCTGTTCGTCATTGGTGCCAAAGGGAGAAACGTTTGAGATATAAACAGCCGTAACTCTTTCTGCATGTTTTAATAAAAATACAGATCACAATACGTTTTATTTCATGTTACGTATCTTATATCGGAATTATGTTGTCCGTCTATAAGCAAGCAATATTCACCCTAGTTTATTCAATATCTAAATACATTATTCTTTTAATATTCTTTAATAAAAAAAAATGGGAACACAACATTTCTTGGAAAATAATTTGATACACAACAAACTGTGTTTTGTTTTAGGACAAGTCAAGAATCAGAGTTTATCATGATACTTCTTCTTGATCAGTAACATGAAAATCAACATACTCCTTAATCCTAAAAAAGTATTTAACAGTAAAATTTGGAGAGGTACGTTTAGACTCTTCCATATTCAGAATATAAAAACAAGCAGAAATATTTGATTTTTCTTATTCACCACATGTGACTTTTAGCGATAAAACTGACCAACACATATTTGCTATTAATAATAATAAAAATAATATATCACCAGAAAATTCCTCTCAATCATACCATTTTCTTCTGAGCAGTTTAAACACTTTAAAGCTGAAATTTTACACATGTATAACCTCCTCAAAGGTACTCATAACAAATGAACATTTAATTATCCACAGAGAAGACCAATGAGTGCATCATCCTCTACTCACTGTGAAAATGTCCCCGTGTTTCAGCTTCATTCGGTTTAAGAACTTGAAAGCATCTTTTCCAAACTCCAGCGCGTGGCCTAACCATGGGATTACCCCCTTATCTAGAGGAGGATCACGCTTGGATCTAAGCAAAATACAGAGAAGAAAAAACAAATGAGGGGGGAGGACACAACTCATCAGTCGTGGACCATAAATCTTACTGGGAACGGGAATATCCTTTAATTTAACAATACTTCTCCTTATTACTTTCATCATGAGTTTATGGTCAAAGAAATAAAGCTCAACTTAGTTAAAAAAAATAAAAATAAAAAAATAAAAAAGATTTTCATTGTAATTTATATTTGCCTGAAAGGAAAACAGAAACAAGAAAACTAGAGTTGTAGAGAGTTAAAGTGTCACTGAAGAGGCAGTTCGACCACATTCCTCAGACTGGAGAATAACGAGCTGCTGTTACTAAAAATACACTACGAGACGTGAAGCCTCAAACGGATTTCTAATCATCCACTAATTTACTCCACAGCCGACAGCACAGTTATTATTATATCATATTATTATAGAACGGCGGCGTCAAAGGGAGCGAATGTTGCGGCAAATATGAGCATCGTATTTGTTACACGGGACAATACAAGCGGATCAAAGTGTATCTTACCTCGATCTGTGAGTGAGAATAAAATAAAACAGGAGCGCTTGTCCGAGCAGAACGAAGGACCAGATCATCTCGTGTGTTTACGTTCGTCGATGCGCAGAGTCACTGAAGTCCCATCAGCTCGCACATGGCTTTTATGAGCTCACGGTCACCGTGTTGACTCTCATCTGTCTCGATGACATCATCGCCTTCGCCTGGTAGACTAACGCGGTGAATGAATAATACACGTGTTCATCTTTTGTTACTCAGCCGGTTTTTGTGCGTCTGTGGGACCCGCGAGTCAATGTTAAAATAGTTGAACAGATGTTTATTCCATCCCACTTAGAGCCAATATATATATAATACAGATAATAGGGTTGACGTTGGGAGTTCATGCTGAGCTTCCTCTTTAGGAGCCCCTGTCTCGGCTTGTAGGATGTGTCCACTGAGTCCCCGAGGCATGTCCAGGACACATCTCGTGTCCTCCATCAGGTTTCACACTGTGTACCAACTTGAAGACAGAAGAACTTGCCCCGGGTCTAGTGCACCTGAACACATCCATCCATCCATCGTCAAACCGCTTATCCTGTACACAGGGTCGCGGGGGGGGGGGCTGGAGTCCATCCCAGCCAACTTCGGGCGATAGACAGGGTACATCCTGGACTGGTCGCCAGCCAATCGCAGGGCTACACAGAGACAAACAACCATTCACACTCACATTCACACATCTACGGGCAATTTAAACCCCTCACGATCCCCAGAGCATGTCTTTGGGCTGTGGGAGGAAGCCGGAGAACCCGGAGAGAACCCACGCAGACACGGGGAGAACATGCAGACTCCACACAGAAAGGCCGCTGGGCGGAGTGGAACCCAGGACCTTCTTTGTGGTATGCAATTAATAGCATGATTTCTGTGTACAGATTATTAGTTTAAACATGACTATGACTATTTTCCATTGTATCAAGACAATAATCAAATGCATCAATTTTACAGCGGAACTTTTGTCCGTTTCATGTTTAGAAGCGGTTGGTTTCCCCCGTCATGGCCTTTTTAGGGTTAGTCAGTGGATTATTGAAACTCTAGAGGAAGTAAGTCACAACCCTGCATGCAAATGTTCACGAACACCGATGATGTTGCTTACTGTACTTCCCCTTTTTACTTAATATCAGATTCTACCTCCTCGTCTCCCGTCCTGTTGTATGTTCAGGAACGCACGTCAGATATGGAGCAATGAAGGTGAAAGAAACTGAGAAAAATAGGGAAGGCTTTTACCTGCTGTCTCCTCTAGATGGCGAAATAAAAAACACATGATGATAAAAAATGATATTAATAAAAAAAACAGAATAAGGGCCATAACTTCCATAGTAAATGTATCCCTGTATGTTAACTTGTATGATGTGATGAATATTTACATGAACTGACATTTGGTTTAAATCTTTATTAATCAGACCAACATGGCAATGAGAAGTTCTTGCAGAGTGGGTTCAGCGGGTCGGAGGAGTGCAGCGAAACTATTTTTAGCGGGTTTCTGAACAGCAATGTGAAAAATGAACTGCCTCAATCAAACAAAGAGAAAACTAATCAACTGCTGCGGAACATGAACATATATTTTCTCTTTCCAGTTAGCCATTCATGACATTTAACCAAAATGAAAAATACAAAAAAAAGATTCCCAAAAGATGTTCTGACAACTTGACCAGAGAACCTGAACAAATAAAATAAAAAAAAGTTAATAATTAAAAGAATATAAATAATGTTGATCCTACACAGCCTGAAATATAAACTCAGAACTTCTACGCAGGATGTGAATCAAGCGAGCTCCTTGTCGCTGTTCTCGTCCCCGCAAGCTTTAACTGTCCCTCTTGATTCATAGACATCCTCTGGAGTTTGGCCAAACACGCCCCCGGTCCGCTTGAGGAGGTAGACTCCAGCATGTAAACCCCCGACATTGACCCAAACAGTGTGCAGCCTCTTCCACAGCCCCCCCATTCTGGAGATAGCCTGGAGACGACATAAAGGACAAATGAGATTTGTTTTGTGTAAAAGAACGCTGAGGTCAGACAAATACAGCTGGTTCAAGTCTTTTTCCATGACTCACAGACACACCGCAGTTAAACCCGCATCGCTCCAACTGTGTGGGGATTATTTAGAGAGGTTAAATTGATTCTGCAAATGAGCTTTTAAGTAGGAGCAAGTTAGGATGTTTAATCGTGATACAGAGCTGCATAAACAGACGAATCTCGCTGGCATTTATAAATGATGCGCTGTTGTATTGTGGTAATAAAACCAACATGGCCCTTTCTACTTCACCATAAAACAACATGTTACGATATAATATTATCCTTAAATTGAGTTTGACCAAATCTTGGAAGCTTGTGGGCCATTTGAAGGTCCACGGTTTCATTTTCAACACTTTCTTTATCTGATTTAACCGTTTCATTCAGCTGTTTGGAACGTTCTTTCAAAATGGTACCGTTCATTTATTAGTACACACAAAAACCATGAAGCTACTGTATCTGACGGATTGCCATTATCTTCTTAAACCAAATAACAAACACGTCTGTGAATCCTTCAACTAGTATCCTCCAAGCTACTATCTGGTAACTTTACAATTACAATTTCCCCAACACTGGTTAACAAACATTCAGACTGCACCGTACAAAGTAACAAATCAACAAAGACCTTCAGCCTGATAAACAAAACCTGTTTATCGTCCTCATCTACTTAAATTATGGGGAATTCCATTCCTGTTTGTGAAGTTGGTAAATACAATAAAAAGTATTTAGCTTATTGCCAAAAGAATCGACACAGAATATCCTTTGGGCTTCTGTTTGATATTTTTTGATATGTTATCATAAGAAATGGATAAGTATACAGATACAGATACAGATTAGAGAGACTAATCAGCTGGTGCGCGAAGGCTTACAAGATGTACTGTGAACTTTAAAAAAAGCTACTATGTTGAAATCAATACATTTTAGAATTACTTTTTTTGCAGCAGGGTTCATACTATTTAGTTGTAATCTTGACACGTCTCCATCTCAAGCTCACTGAGCGGCCGAGAAAGCAAAAGTGTTGCTAACAATTGCTGACAATATTAAATATGTTTTACTCTGTTTCGGTTTCTGTTTTGTCTAAGGTTTAATCAAGGATATATTGTCTTTATTCCACCATTAGTTTTGGAATGTGACTTAGGTGCTGCTTTCTGGGAGGAGTGGGTATCAAGTAGGGCTGAGGGACAATGAATCGATGAAATCGATAAAATTCGATTATTAAAAGCGTTGGCAACGAATTTCATTATTGATTTGTTGTGTCATGATTACGTCACTCGATGAGTTGTGGAAATGCACGCGGAGCAAAAATAAAAAATTAAAAGCGCCGAGGCGACGTAGAGGAAAGAGCAGCCAGCAGTATTTGAGTCACATGACGCTTGCGCATATACTGTGGGTTATACGGTAGTTGATGTTATGCCTTTAAAGGGAGACACGGTGATCCATTAAACAAGCACGGCTAACTAAAAGCCTCTAATCCATTTATTTACAAATGCCATTTTAAATTCATCTCATGGCACTTGGTTGTTTTTTAGCTGTACTTAGATGGGGTGTGAATTTGCAGTTCTGTTTTAGAGTAAAGGGTTGGAAATTAAAGCGTTTTGATTTTTTATTATCCGATTGATCGATTAATTGAGGAAATACCGTATTTTCTGCACTCAAGGGGCACTTAAAAGCCTTTAATTTTCTCAAAAAACGACAGTGCGCCTTATAATCCGGAGTGCCTTATATATGGATCAATTGGTTAATCGGTTGATCCATACTGGTTGTACACGGCGCTCAAGGCGCTCTGCCAAACATGCCAAAGCTCGGTCTACGACGGCGAGATGCTGAGCAGGCGCTCAAGCGCGTGAGATACGGAGATTGTTTCAGGGCGCGTCGGAGAAACAAAGCTGTCGTTCTTGCCAAGCATTTAATGAGATTAAAGAGCGAGAGACGGTGCCCTTTTCTTTACAGTAGCTGAACCATCTTAACAGGGAAAATAAGTTATTCTAAAAGAAGCCCTTGGCAGGCGGCGTGGCTGGAGAGAAGCCGAAGATTTAAGGCGTGGATGGTGAGGGGGGCGGCGGGAGCGGACGCACCTCGCAGTGTGCACTGCAATTTATTTGGAAGTCATTGTGCAACCCAGTTGTATGCGTTTAGCTGGAAACCTGGTTGTTTGCATAAGAATACGGTTACCTTAGTAAAGCACTTCTTGTCCTGTGTTAACAAGACAGCTTTCCCTGTTCCTGGTGTGCACACACGAGCCATTTCTCTCAGACAGGACGGGTAAAGGTCCCAGTTCTTCTTCCTGGAGCCCATTCTTCAGGGAAGCAAAGGAAAGATTGTGACTCGTAGTTTAAAATTTCCATATTCAGTTGGTCGGCTCAAAATTTGGTGGAAAGTATCCAAACATTTGGTTATTCAGATTAATTTCTACATACTGACTAATCAGCCATGAACTGTACACCACTGTAATAATGGTACCTCTTGCCAAAGGGCATGTCAGTGACGACGATGTCGACGGAGCCTGTTCTTATGGGTAAATTGCAAAGATCCCACTGTATGGTGTCAATGGGCAATCCAGATGCACTGTTTGAAACAAGGGTTTAAAATCATCACGATGATAATTTACACAATTTAATATTGAAACTATCTCCTTATGAGTTGTCCAGCTGTGCAGCCTCTCACCCGCCTTTCTCCGCCATCCGTTTCTGGATGTGACACACATTATTTACTGTGCGGTTAACTGCCATGTCATTGTTGTCACCGGCAACGTAGAATGAGCTGTTAAATTCAATGGCCCCCTGGTAAAGTAAAGCATTAGACAACTACTTTTAGAAACTGCACATGAACATGTTTATATTCATCATCTCTGATCATTTGACACTTGAAAACAATGTGACGTGGATCATCAGAATACTTGATAGGTGGTGCAGTATAAGGATGGGTTTCAGTACAAGGTGCATGCTATATTACACTGCATACTGTAGAATGGGAACAAATCATAAGGTTATTGGAGAGGCCTTTAATAACACTGTGTTTATTTATAGCACTTAACCATATAAGCAATGTTGTAGTGCAAGTGCAGAATGTCTCACCTCCAATGGTATAGCTCCAGTCCCACACATTGGGTCAAGTATTATATCGGATGCCTGAGGTTTACAAAGCCTGTCAACAGAAAATAGAGTTTGGATAGTTAATCACCAGAGCAACATGACAGGTTTTATGGGCTCATTTTATGCATGTAAATATACAGCATTTTTTTGCTGCTCCATCATCGGGCGTACTGCAGAGTGACACTAAACGTACATTTCTACTCACCACTCAGTCTTAACACCAAAACATTCAACTACTTCCAATATGGACTTAAATGAACCACAAGTCACCATACTTTATCCAAGTGTATTCATATAAATGTGGCATGTACTTGCAATAGTATGATAATGCACAAAACAAAGACAGAAAGAAAATATTAGCCAGAAAAACTTTCTAAATTGTATTTGAGGGCTCACCTTCTTTTCACAAGTCAAACTAACTCAAACATTCAACACTCAACAAAAAAATATCCATACACTTTCTCAAAAGAGGCACAGAGCTTTTGACCAATTTGGTGTTTTAAAACCATAAGATAAAAGAATGCACATACAAAACACAACCTTTACCAAGGGAACAAAAACCCTCAGACAATTGGAAACGTCGAATAATACATTATTTAAATGACATACGTTTTAGCAAAAGCTCAACTATAACCTTATTAACTGGGATGTTGTAAAACGAAGCTCAAATAGTGTCGAGTTACCTGAGCATGCCGTAACACAAGGTGGAGCGCAGAGTGGTGGGTCCAAAGTGACTGATGTTTCTCCTGTGCAGACTCTCTTCAGTGAGAGCGATGCCGATCACCATCTCTTCATTGTGTATGTTTAGTAACACCTACAGTTCAGGAACACGCAGTGCAGGATTAGAAATCAATAATCAATGTAACCCTGCATATATCCTCAAAAATAAAATGATCAGCAACTATTTTGAAGCAGATTAAGTGTTTCTAAGCAGCCTATTATTCTTGTCTGATTGGTAAACTGATACGCACAAATCGAAGAAATAGAATTTACTATTTGTCAACATTGTTGGGGGAAAATTGTTGAGCCTGCGTGGGGTGAGGCTCTCAGGAATGTGACCTTTGATGTGAGCCGGTGACTTAAGGCAGTCCAGGGTGAGATAAGACACAGATGAAAACATGCGTGCCCTGACTGACCTTTTAGATGTTGTTGATTGTCTGGGTCCATAAAGGGAGGGTCACAGGGTCACCCCTACATCATCTGCTACTTTTCCTACATTCCTCTTGAGGGGTGGGCTGTCCTGAGGCAGCACAAACCTCCCTGAAGTGTATATAAGCTCCTGTTCTCCTCTTCAACTTTGTCAGATCTTCCTGCTCCTTTTGGGGGAAGGAACATCTGTCCCTTTTCAGCTGAATTGTAGTCATTTGACTTCTGTCTGTGCTTACGACTTGTGCTGATGATCTCTGTATTCTTTATCTTTTTTCTATATTCTAGTTAGTAATAAATACTTAATCACAAAGCAAGCTCAAGATACTTTTGATTTCTCACATGGGCTAAATCCACAAATTTCCACCACAAACATCATGTACATATTTAAATATAGGTTAATCCAGAATAAGCAAACTATTTTAAATAACCTTTCTATAGAACGTAGTCCATAAATTGATATCGCTGCGAAATCACATTTTCAAATCTCAAATGTTCTGGGAAAATGTTACTCAGCGGAGTTGTTATTTTTGTCTTTGGTTACACCTTGAAAACTAAACATTACTTTCAGCCTTGCAGATCCATCTGGCAGCAGGCTAGTGTGATGCCATTCAATTTGCGTCAGTCCCGTCTGAACAAGGAGGCCTACCTCTACGTCAAACTTCGTCATGTCCGCCTTCCACTGGAAAAATTCTTGCACAGCTCCGCCAAAGTCTCTGGCCGCCTCATTGGAGGAAAAGCTGTGCCTATCACCGGCCCTGTTGCACGTCACACGGAACTTTAGGAGTTTGGCCGCGGTTTCTGCCTCTTCCGAGTCCGTGGTGCTGGTCTCCATGGCAGCAGTGCTCTCTGCTTTAGTCTGGCTTCCGGCAGCAGACAGCGCCTGAGGTAGCTTTGGCTGCTCGGTGTCGTCCACGGCCGCATCCGTCACCTCACAATTGGATTTGGCTTTGGTGACATTTCCTCCCTTCCGGTAGCCTTTCCTCTTTTTTAATTTGCCATTTAGCTTCCAAACCGCCAAGGCATCAGTCCAGGGGAGTTTGGAGGCGAGCTGCATCATCTCCGTCAATGTCTCTTCCTGCACAAACACAGTGTTCATTAACCCTCACAATAATCAGCAGCTACAACAGAACAATGATGCTCGTAGGTTACCTTTGATTCTTTGAATGGGTAATGATCGTATTCCGCAACCACCACAAACAGGTTGTCCACAGACCTCAGAAGATGTACCTAGAGTTTTAGAGAACAGAAAAGTTTGCCAGGATAAAGATCAGTGTTTGAACACACACACACACACACACACACACATATGTATATCGACCAAAGCTTTTTCTATGCATATTATGATGTTTGTCAGCGAGCAACGACGAAGAAGAAAAAGGGCATGCGTTGATGTCAGGATTGTCACCTGGGAAAGCTTGTCGGTGGTTATTGGAAAGTAGATGCGACCACGATCTTTCCCGATTTGTGCATCGACCCCAATTTTCTCCTTGACCTCTTCTGCAGCAGTGTGCTCGAATCCTGTAGGCACGGTCGCTCCGATGGTGACAGCAAGGACGTCGCCATCGTTCATAGCGGAGCGAGAAGTGGATGCTGCAGCTGCGTTAAGGCCCGACTCTGCAGCCCCGCCTTCCTGGGAGGACATGCTGTGTTTGTGGGCTGCGCCTCACCAGATGAGATGTACCTGGATGATGTGTAGCACAGCTGGAGCACATGTAACTTAGCCCTTGGAGGGGAAGAGAAGTGACGTTATTTAAACAGTTGCTGACGTTACAGCATGTTTTTGCCATACTGAGGCATGAGCCATTTGCTACAAAGCTAACTTTATGTGTTATAAACATATACATGTGGGCTGTTATGAGTCATAAGTTTGCATAGACGATGGTTGAATTAAACAAAGTGAATAAACATGTGACGTTGTTGCAGGGAAATCAATCATACTGGTTACCTTAGTTAACGTTAGCTGGCTATAGTGAAGTTAGCTTTGAGGTGCTAAAAAGTTGTTACGACACAACAACAAGCTAACGTTAGCCACCGATAAAGAGCTTCGTTTACGCCGCCATTCTGGCACTTTTTAATGTGATAGGCGCCCCGGCTGAGCCGTAGCAGCAGGTGAAAATAGCAGAACAGTTAGTTTTATTAAACTTGCTAACTGGAGTTCGACCAACCTGTCAAGACACGAGGCGACAAAAGTCACGCTTCCTCTCAGCCAGCAACAACATCAATACTTCCGGCAGAAATACTCCAAAATAAAAGCATCATCTCCACAAAGGTAATTTTTCAAATGTGGCCATATGTCAAAATACTTCTTGAAGGAAATGGGAAGAGTGTCATGTCTATTCTACAATAGTGTAAACAAATCATGTGCAAACTATGTAAACACTTATTACGTGCACATGAACCGTATCTTTTTGTATTTATTTCCCCAAACAACGGTAAATTAGTTCAGTATATCATGGCCAATGAAATCCATATTTATATGTCTTATTAGTATTGTTCATTAAATTATTTTAATATAAATACTTTTATAATTACATGACAAAAAAAATCTAATCTAATCACAACTGTAACTTACTTGGAGATGAGAGTTATTGATTTAGTTTCGTAACCGTCACTATTTATTATATGACCGTAATAAATTGGGCATGGTGCTTAAATCATAATGCAAATCATTAAAACTAGCATAGCCTTGGTTTTGTTGTGAAAGCTAGATGCCCAAACCGGAAATCTAGTTTGGGTCAATTTGTTTCTTCTTACCAATGTGCTTCCATTCATTTCTACTGGCTTCTACTTCCGGGTATAACTTTCCAACAGGTAGTCGACAGAGGGCGCTGTGATATAAGTTTCGAACAAACTGTGGTTTGAGAGAACTGAGCAAAACCGTTCACCTTCGAAACGACACAATAAAGAGCAGAATAACAGACGTTTGTGTAGAGAGTTGTGTTAAGAATATCTGTGTACTGTTCTGTGTCGTATTTGCTTGTGTGATTAATTGAACATCTGTGCAGTGCAAGTTAGAGCCGTAACTGTGAGATATTTGTCTGTTTATTAGAAAATAAATAGTTGCTCTTTTTATAATTTTATATGTACCATACCCGTTTTCGAATTCACTGTGGTTGAGTGAGGTTTAAAACATTTAATTAAAATTAAATTCTATTACTTGAATGCCTAACTGACAGAAAAATACGCCAGCATCGTAGCGTATTCCTTGCCCCTCCACACCACATAAATCGTGTTTATGGAACATGTTTTGTTGTTTTTCTCACCATTTATTAAAGGTCAAGTTTATTTACTTTCCAACTGATTCATACGTGTAAAGTCTTAGAGACGAGTGGGCGTGTGTTTGTGTCAAAGAACGAAAAGTTCTGCACAACAGATGGCCAATTTTGCACGGAGTACAGGAAGAAAACTTTTGAATAATAAAACATTAGCAACACATATTTTCCTTATTCTCTGCAGAGAGAATAATCAGACAAGCTCTCACAGTTAAAATGAACTGAATAATAAAAGTTCAGCTGCAAGGTTTGAGGCTCGGACAGAAGATCAAACAGTATTGTCTGACTTGCTTATAATTCAGATAAGCGCGGATGAGGTGCTTCTATATACAGCTGCAGAATTCTACAGCTACACCTGCAGAATTTTATACTGGAATTGTCTTCCAGTGTTGAGAGTGAGATTATTCTTTAAATTGTTCTCTTAGTGTGTATTATATGACAAAGTAAGACAAGCAGAGATGTGAGCCTATACTTTTCAGGGAACAAAATGTCATGTTCTTCAGTAGGAGTGCTTGATGATTGATTGACGGCAGGTTTTAAACCATAGAGGTTTGCATACGATAATTTCTAACAAAAGACGAAAGTTGGAGACAAAATATAATAGTACAACATCACTAATCAACTTCCTATTTTCCCCAAGATACGTATCGGATGGGAGCCATTAAAATATTTGACGCCATTTAACAAAACAGCTGGCAGTTGGCATGAGATATTCTTTAATGTTGATGTTTCAGGTTATTAACTATCACACTATTCAGCCCAAGGTTGTATCTCAGGAGGGCATGTTTCCACATGTTGGGTATGGACACAAGACCTTTTCCCACTCTTGTTCGATAGAAAAAAAATAGTAAAAGGATCTCACAATGGATCTTTGTGCCACAAAAACGGTGAAGTCAAAGTTTCCCAGGCTTCCCCCTGAGACGCCTGATGAGAGAGGTACAGAGGAATAGTAGGAGGGAGGAAGGGACTGTGCAGAAAGGTTACCTCTGCTGACTTCTCTGCGGTAAACACAAACCAAAGCAGAATCCACCCTGCTGTCGATCTGCCTCTCCAGCAGGCCTCTTTGTCACAGCTAACGTGTCAACTCTCTCAGGCCTCTGGTGCTCAGACGTGTAGGTGATATACTTTGTGCCTGACTAACAACTTGGACTCTCCACCGGAACTAGAAGTGCGATGCAGTGAGAAACATAACACAGGAAGACTCTCTGTCTGAGCCTCTGTCATGTCTGGACTGAACAAAGACTCACACACAAACACACTCACACACACACACGCACACTGACAGAGGCCTTTGAGCTCCTCAGGTTCTTTTCCTCTTGTGAAAGACGGTTGTGTCTGTTGTGTTCAAAAGCTAGAAAATACGTTCGTAAACATTTTGATCATCTCTGTAATTGTTCACTTTTACCTTCAGCTAATTATTCCTCTAATCTAATATCTTCACATTTCACACTACAGTTTTTACTCACATCACACCAATCGGCCATGCTAGCAATAATAAAATCATGTTTGCTCTCTCTTTTCAATACAATTCAATTGTTGTGGGTAGTAAATGCTTTTTGCTTATTTGCCAACAGGCCGGTAAAGCTAGCAAGTGAGTGTGAGAAGTATGATTTTTGGGGGATAGATTTCTTCTGTTTTCTTTTTCTAAACGGGGCAGAATGTCAACCTCAAAAATGTCCTCCCACTGGTCAGCTTGAAATATGCATGGAAGCCTTTGGGCAGCAGATGGAATTGAAATGCAGAGGACCCCGTTCCCGGCTTCGAGTCAGCTCATTGTGAGTCAACAGCCTGCCCCGCCCCCCCAAGCTAAGAAAAGCCAAGGTGACAGACAGAGAACACAGTGAAGCACCCGGGTGACAGTATCTGTCAGTAAACACACTGAGTCCCTGTCACGACGATTGCTTAAAAAATCTCTCTTTCTTCATGATATGAATTCTAATATTCTTTTGCTGGGTGCAAGACGCAAGACTCCCATCACAGGGACAAGGATGCATGAGCGTAACGCATGGAAACTATTTGAGTTTTGGGTTCCTTGTGACATATTAGGAGTATTACAATGCATAATGTGTTTTTGCTTCTGCTCAGGCCTATTTCACACGTGTATTTGGGATCAGTTTGTACATAACTAAATATTCCTTTGCATGCGTTCAAGGCCAATGGTCACTGGCCTTCTAATCATTCACATGCATCTCTAGTTACCCGCCTCGAGGAGAAGAGGTGGAGTAAACAATGGTGTGCCAAAGACGATGATGGTCCACTTCTACACGGCCATCATCGAGTCCATCCTCTGCTCCTCCATCACCGTCTGGTACGCTGCAGCCACAGCCAAGGACAAGGGCAGGCTGCAGCGTGTCATCCGCTCTGCAGAGAGGGTGATCGGCTGCTATTTGACGTCCCTGCAGGACTTGTTCGCTTCCAGGTATCTGAAACGAGCTAAAAAGATCGTAGCCGACCCCTCTCACCCCGGACAAAAACTGTTTGTGCCCCTTCCAACCGGCAGGAACCTGAGGTCCATCAGGACTAAGACCTCCCGCCACACAAACAGTTTCTTCCCGTCGGCAGTCGGGCTCATCAACAGAGCCCGGTCCCCCACTGACTGACGTTAACATTCATATAACATTCCACCGGTCACTCCCCTTCCTACTGCACATGTCACTTTAACTGTTATTTTTCACTTTGTCGTCACTCGTCACTTTGTTACTTGTTCGCTAGTGCACTTTATGCTTAATATTTTTTTTACTTTTTTAATATTTAAAATTTTTAACTTTATTCTCTTGTTTTATACTAACTCATAGCCGTACATTAGCATTTCATTTTACTTTATTTTATTACTGCTGTCTTGTTGTCTATTGTTACACTGTCTACTGTCACGCACCAACCGGCAAGACAAATTCCTTGTATGTCTGACATATTTTGGCAATAAATGTTTCCTGATTCCTCATTTCTATTAACAAACTTCCAATGCCAGAGCCCCCAGTGTTTAATGGCAATCCCATTGACTTTGTTGAGTTGAAGGCTTCATTTATTTTGCTCATAGATAGAACAAACATTCCCACTACTTACAAGCTGCACTATCTTAGGAGATATGTGGCTCAGCTCACAAATGCTTAGATGACGAAGCTTACAGCGATGCTTGGAAAAAACTCAATCAGAGGTACGGCCAGCCATTTATCATTCAAAAGGCTTTTAGAGAAAAATTATCCAACTGGTCAAAAATACAGTCGAAGGATGCTCAAGGACTGAGAGATTTCTCAGATTTCTTAAACGCCTGTCTGAAGGCCATGCCCCATGTAAAAGGTTTAAACATCCTAAACGATTGTGAGGAAAATCAGAAGTTGGTGCAGAAACTGCCAGAGTGGCTCACAGAGGGAAAGGATTTCTCTAGCTTCAAGGACTTTGCCAAGTTCATGTCTGTGGAGGCCAAAACCGCCTGCAATCCAGTCACCTCTTTCCTCGCTCTCCATCCAGCTGATTCCGGTCAATAAAAGTGGAGCACAAGGGCAAGCAAAAGAAACAAAGCCAGCACTTTCAACACACAAACAGTCGTTGAAAACAGTAAGCAGACCACAACAAAGGAAAAGGTGCATGCTATGTAAGGATATCAGTCATCAGCTTTGCAAATGTCCAGACTTCATGCAAAAAAAATTGGAACACAGGAGGGCATATGTCAAAGATAACAGAGTGTGTTAGGGATGTCTAAAACCTGGTCATAGCGCAAAGGAGTGCCGACATCGCCACACATGTGACTCATGCAAAGGACGACATCCTACATGTCTGACCTCATGATCATATAGGCCCACATGAGTGAAATTGTAGGTTATTTTGCATGTATATATTTCTGCTGGACTATTCAGGAACTTA